GGATTGAAGAAAATCCTCTCATCTTCCGTGAACGGCAAGTAGTGGGGATCACCAAGAAAAACACGGTTCAAGAGTCAAGACGTCTGAAACTTGATCGATGATGTGCGCCCGCCGCTGGCTGGCTGGCTGGCTGACTGACGGACTAGCTGCTGTCAGGCCGAGTACGCCGTAGAGTGACGCGGGTTGGGAGGGTAAAGGCCCGAAATCAAGTGCTGGAATGGCGACGTTGCTTTTGTCGATCACGCGGAAACCTCCTTACATGGATCTGCGCCGGTTGCATCAGATTGCTAAGCTGCTTACCCCGTAGTTAGTTACGGTGTTAACGGTGGTTAGATCAGGCGCGGGTACAGTAAGGACGAGAGGAGGAGTGAGTACGGAGTGCGCATGGTTTTCGTAGTCAGTAGTCACTACTTCGAACCGGAGGATGCGCCGGGACGGATGAGCAATTGCCTTATCTGATGGCGAAATCGGCCGGTTCTCTAAGGTTGTGGGTTCCGTACTGTGTATATTGGACTAACGTTTGGATTTTTGAGAGGGAAACTCAAACGCGGTGCTCCGTAGTCGGGACTAATAAATCGCACTGTGAATGACATTGTGGTGCAATGATAAGAGTGCTGTGCTTGACTTTGCCTGAATGACTGCTCAACAACTCCGATTGCTTTGGGGTTGGAAAAGGGAGAAAAAGAAAAAAGTGGACCGAGTTGTCCCGCATGCGTCCTCCACCCAACACTTCGTACTCAGAACTCAGACTCTCAGTAGTCAGTACGGAGTACAGTAGGTATCACATTTTAAGATCCTAGGGTGTTGTACGAAGCTCTGTAAATTTTCCTCATTCCACCTACAACGTAAAGATATCTACTCATCCAGAAGAGATGATGAGATAACGTCCAACACACAAAGAAAGTATAGAAAGAAAGAAATCCCCTTCCCGAAGAAAGCCTTTACGGGCGTCTCTTTATGAGTGACTCGACCACCCCGATTGAACAAAGAAAATCGCGCGGTCTGAAAGTTTAATTCCCGTGGCGAAGCTATTGAATCTTCCTTCGAAGCTCTCCTCGCTTCTTGTCGTTGCGGTCAACACGGAGTATGTAAGCGAATCTCCGCTCCGCTTGGGGACCTTGTCAATGAAACTGTTAGTGTTGAGAGTTATGATGGATATCAGAAGAGCGTAACCATGGCTCTGTAAATCACAGTTCTGTCCTGCTCTTGCTCTTTCTGATCTTCTCGTTGGAATTTTTCTGGTAGAGTGGGTCGTCGGTCATTGTAATCTTGGTTGCTTGTGTGGAGTAGATGAGGGTGTTTGGTTGTCAATAATAATATATAACTACGGAGTATACCTTTGACTCTGGAGAATGGACGAGCGGAGGCTCGATCGCAGACACCCCAACGTATGTGAGTATGTGGGAAATATCGAACAAAACAAGATGGGCGCATGATGCACGGCATTGAGTCAACCATAGCTGGCTAGACGTGCATACTGTTGTTTTCTTCTTTCGGTGGTTGACTCCTCATTACCTCCCCCGGATAACACCCTGCCATACTCGCCGACTAAGACGTGGTGAAGTTATACTACCTGTTTCAACATACCTACGCGCATAAATCCCTGCCGACCGATTGGGAATTACTTCTACCGACGATAGCAATGGCGTGCGATCAGTTCATATTGGGATTGCTGACACCATGTACTCCGGTGTACACGATTGCAGTTGCATCCTTATACGTAAAAAGCCGGCCCTGCATGGCCATTGACTCATTGGTCGCGAGCTTGAGTCGAGGGTAGACCGTTGACTCCTAGAGGGCAGAGCCATTCCACGGTACGTAAGTGTAGGAGGCTGTAACGAGATGCCCGCCCTTGGCCGCTTCGCGCTGTATTTTTTGGTTCTAAACTGTGGGTTATTCGATTAGGCTCGGTGGGACGTCCTGACCCATGGACCATGGTACTTGATCGCGGGAATTTCCCACCGGTTGAGAAAGATTGGGATGCCATGACTCGGACCATGTTTGAAAGTTGAGTGGTTCCTCCGCGGTACCTGAAAGCGCGGAAGCGAAATCACGGAGAGAGTGGTGGGCAAGAATACCGAAATAAAGGATAAGTCGGTCGGTTCATCGTAGATCAGATATTCTCAAGGTGATCTATCATGCACCGAATGGAAGCGAAGGGAGTGCATGGATGACCAGAACCTGGGGAACAGGATCCTGGCATGGGAACAGGGGACGGATGAGCCTCCCGCAGACTCGGCACATCACGAACGATTCGCATCCTCTGATCCGCTATCCCCTACTCTACTACTAGAGGGTATCTAGTAGAGACCAGCCGGCGGGCTTGCTAGAATGCTAGGCCACCCTTTTTTTCCCCTTTCTCATCTCGATTTGCATGCTAGCAGCACTAGGGGAGGAGACTACCAGTCTACCCCCTACACTTAGCTCTCTCCAGGCGGTTTCTCCGAGCTTCCGTGCGTTGGGTCTCGGACGCGAGTCCCCTTCAGCCAGGATGGCGTTACAGCTAAGAGTTTTAGCATCCGACGGGTCGCAAATCAGCGTCCGCTCAAGTTCGCTAGAAATGAAATGGTCCCAGAGGCTGTGGCCTAATGCATCCAGCACGTTCTCGTCGTGCTGCTCCTAATGCTATCTTGTCTTTTCCCTGATTTGTTGTATCCTCCGAGTATAAAAAAAGCATTTTCTTTCCTGGACAAGAAATAGGAGAGATATCAGTATCACGTTGACCATGAGTAACTTTTCCCGTCCCGTACCCATGCGTACTCACGAGGATCGTTACTCCGTAGTGCCTGGAAGTATCCAAGGATCTCCGGTGTCCTTGCTCATTCCAACAAAGAAAGCTCCCCTCCTGCTACCCCACAGAAAGAGACGATGGTCGATGATACAGATTCCAGATTCCAGATTCCAGATTCCAGACATCCCCCCGTTGCTCCGGTAAATCAAGGACGAAGGGCAGTAGTAACCGTGCCCGTGGAATCAGCATCGGTCGCAGCGTCTGACTAGCGACGGAGGACATTCCATGGAGGGACTTTTTCGCTGTGCTGCGACCCGCTCCGGTCAGGTCACGTCGTCCTGGGAGAACGGTACCTTACTGTCCCGTACCCCCGGCAGCTCGGCGTGATCGGTATCGTTACTCGGGAGAAACGGGATGGATACCCGTCAGATCGGATGATTTTACGGAGATTTACCACACCGATACCCTCGGAAGACACGAAGGTACCGTACCATACCGCCCCAGGGGAACTCGATAACTGTCTTTGACTGTCTTACCCATGAATAGATGGTTGGCTGATTACGGAGTCCTTCTAACTAGTGTTCCCCTCCTGCTATTATTATTCTGATGAGACGGAGATCCAGGAGAAAGGCGCATCCTCCGTGATAGTCCTACCGTGCTAAATGCTAATGGGCCAATATCACCATGGCAGGCACATCCAGGAATCTGGGAGGAAACGCATTACCATCCCTATCATACAGCCAAAGTTTCCGGTATGACTTGCAGCTGCAATAATAGTAATCGTGGAATAATATTAATCAGGTATTAATTTGATCATAATAGTAATAATTGTGTTCGTAGTTAAGACTGTTAAGTTAAGGCACTGCTCGACACTGGACATTCGGATCGTCTAATCGTCTGCTTGTCCACCAGAGAATTCCTCCCCCCCCCCTCTCTGAAGGATAACTCGTTCGATTGATTATTCATAATTCTCTTTATGACTGTTGTTTTTCCTAGTCGAAATACACCCCATTGAATTTTCCCCTCGTGGAATCCGAGCTCTCTCCCCCAGACCTTTTACCCTGCCCGGTGGTGTTTTTGGATTCGAAATTTGGAAATTTTCTGCACTTAACATCTTCACATTTCTGCTACCCAAAGATTAACGGCCAAAAGTAACCTTCAAACACAATTATTAAGAAACGAAAAAGTAGGGAAAAAAGGTGGCCATTTGGTTGTGGCTGCTTCCTTCTCTCGCGGTTCTCTGATCCGTCAGTCTCCGCCTGTCAGTCTCCCCTAAAGCGACTAGCATCCATTCCGCCCATCCTCACCTCTTACACCCCCCCATTATCTCCCTATTCCCTTTTCCTTCCTTTTCCACGCCTTCAACCCCTCTTGCTCTCTTTCCCCTTGTTTCTTCTCTTCTTTTTTCGCTCACCTTCCCCCCGTCCATCTCATCCCATCTCTCCGGTCCAGTGAACGGCCTATCTTCTGCTTGTCCCAGAAGATAAGGTGCCATTCCAAGGATCTGGTAATCTCCTTTTTCTTTTCCCCTTCCATCTGTTCACTTCGGCTTTCTATCTTCACTTTTCTTCTTTTTTTTTTTTTTTTTTTTTTTTACTTTTTTTCTTTTTCTCTTTTGCGCCTTCCCCCCCCCTCCCCCCGCTCCCTTTTCCTTTCTCTTTTCCTTAAAATTACAAAACTCATTTGTACATGGCTCGACCGCTCTAGAAAGCATTCGCCATCTTGGAGCCCTGTGTTCCTGACGCCTCACCCCCGTCGCCAGTTCCCCTTCGATCCTCGTCCGATCCGAGCCCTTCGTTTAGTCTTCGACAGCATTCGTTTCGCATCAACTCTAGCGTCAATTTTTTTTCTTCTCTTTTTCTTTTTTTAATCGGTGTATCTGTATAATCTACCTTTCTTTTGCATTTATTAGAACAGGTACGGCCAACACATGTCCCCTCCCCTGGAAAGGAAAAAGAAACGCCGTTCCCTTGGAACAACCGACGGTTGTCGATCGTTGAACCAATCTTGGAAGTGCGTCGCTCTTCTTGTGCAATCCTAACTAACCACCGTGTGGCACAGGATCTCCGTTTTATTCCTTTCCATCGTCTTTCTCCCTTCTTCCCTCTCTCGAGTTACTCTTGACAACTAGACGTTATCTCTTTCTCCCACCTCCCCTGGCTTGGATCCTGCGAATTTTTAGCGAGTGCACCTGTCGAGATCGTTGTCCTGCACACGTCGCTATCGACGCGTCCGACCCTTCTCTGTCCGGATTTTGGAGAATAGCATCATGGCTGCGTTGGTCCAGACGATTCCGCAACAAAGTGGCACGGTTCCTGTGCTTTCAACTCGTCCATCATCCTCTTCGGGCACCTTCACACCCTCGTCTCAAAATTCGCAACAGCAAAACGCTAGGAATTCGACTATGTCTTGGAATACATACAACACGGGCGGTTCGGGCAGCTACAGGGCAGGCCACCAGGTTGTGGCCCCCTACGCTTTCACCAGCACGCCCAACCTGTCCGGTTCCGCCAATGTGCAGAACCGTCAGTCGTGGTCCCCTCATCTGAGACCGGAGCATCGAACTACATCGGCCCCGTCCGCCCCTCAGCTATCTCCTAGTCTCCCTCCTACTCTTCCTCCTATCGGTGTTACCTCGCGGTCGGCCAATCATCCTGCAGCTGGTTCTGTATCCACCTCTTCGTCCAATTCTTCCGTACAATCCTACGTCTCAAAAGACGACTCGGCCATCCCTTCTTCAAGGCAGCTACGGACCGAACCCCCTCTCCGCCCCCTATCGACCATCAATCTGCCGTCTCCTTCATCATCTTTCATGAACATATCTTCTCCTACCGTCCGTCCGTCCCCTGATCGTTACCGTCGAGGATCCCGGCGTCCGGATAGCGTAGTTGGCACGCCACCCGCCAGTACGACGACAAATGTGTCGGGCCCGTCACGATCTCCGTCAGGAACCCCGGATGAGAATTCGTTACAGGCGCCGCTCAGAAATCCGGGCCACCATCGGGGCTCCAGTGCCGATGATACGTCGCGTGGGGAGAAGTCGCAACCGGAGTTGGCTAAGAGATACAGGCGACGGAGCTGGGGGAATATGGATAATGCCGGCCTTATCAATCTAGAGCTTCATCTGCCGACTTCCTCGCCGACCCCATCGGCAGGCGGTACTGACTACTTTGACACAAATCACCGGCCACGATCGGCACAATCCCATCGCGATGTTACGACGAGCATTCACTCGGCTCATTCCTCGACCTCTTCGGTAAGTGCCATCGCATGGGCATAAACTTTAGAAAAAAAGGTCTCTCGCTAACTAACTGCCACTAGGTTCCTGAGCCCGGAAACACAGAGCCCGCATCTTCGTCCGGCAAAGCTGCCGCCAAACCGGAAGATTCCAAACGGGCTCCGAAGCCATCGCCGCTATCGAAGCCTGTCGATGCTGATCCGACGCCCGTGGCATCGCCCACTCAGCCGCAAAGCAAAGAAAAACCCAACCCGATGGAGAGTGCTGCTACCCAGCGACTGTCTGAACTGTCTAAGAACGACCTCAGACGGCCAGGGAAATCCCGGCTGAGAAGAGCTTTCTCCTTCGGAAGTGCCTCGGAGCTAATGAAGGCGTCTGCTCAGACCAGTGCGGGGAAGAAGGAGGCTATTGCCCTTGAGAAAGCTCGCAGGGAATTGCTTCAGGAAGAACTTGGTCCAGAGCAGGCCGCTATTGCGGAACAGCAGGAAGCCAGTGGCTTGGGAGAGAGCATCTACTCGCATCACCAAGGCCGATTCTTCAATAGCTCCACGGATAATATTTCCGTCTCTTCCACAGCGTCCTCTGCCTCGATTATGCTTCGCAAAATGGGCAAAGGAATGAAACGATCGACCCGATCTCTGGTTGGATTATTCCGCCCCAAGTCCGTTATCAGCATGACGTCGACAGATGCCGCCGCCATCGAACCAATGGCGCCGCAACTGTCCGTTGTCAACATCGAAGCGGAAAGGAAAAGCGTGACCGTAAACCCGGACCCGGCAGATCTTCCTCGTGGCGGCACCGTATTTCCAAAAGTCGAACAGACTGCCCCGGAGGTGTCGGGTCCCGATGACGGTGGGTTGGACAAAACCCAGTCGCGGAAGAGTATCGTCGGGGGCGACAGGGAGCGAGCCGAGGTATTGGCCGCTGTTCGCAAAGGCATTTTGAAAAGTAAGTCACCACTGGCAATTTAGGTCTTCCTTCCATAGCGACCCGACTGACTTCGTCTGCTCGTATAGAAACCCATTCCGACCCAACGACCAACAAGCCATCGGGGGGCTCCCAGACCGTTAGCAACAACGATACTCCCCACTCTAGTGCTCCCAGCACCCCCGAAGACCAGACGCGATCCGGCAGTCGCCGCCCTGAAACGGTCAGGATTGCCGGTGACGACGACTTCATCTCGGTGGGGCGGTTTGCCGACAGCAAGGGTGCCCCCATCACTCCGCAGGCTGTAGCTTCCAAGAGCCTGGTGTTCAGCCCTCGTATCCAGTTTCACGACACGTGGCCCAGCGGGGAGTACGACCGTCGGGGAGACATTGCCACCTGCAACCGACTGACGCCGCTCCTTGCCCAGCAGATCAAGGAGGAGCTCAACAATTTCAAAATGGTATGTCTCTTCAGATCGCTCTATGAGCCCGTGTTTTAGTGCTGACTCTGCCAATAGGAGATGGAAGTTCACGAGACCTCTAAAATTTATACCCATTTCCTCTGAACCATTGCATTCTGAAAGGCGTTATTCCATCCCAATTTCCGGGCGAACTTGCATGTCATTTATTCTCTGGACGGCTGTTGGATCTATAACTCGTGCGGTGCCCCCGACCTTGGAGTTTTTCACCTCATAGTAGACCTGCTTTCTCTTTTTAGAGCCACGTTTTGGTTGCGCCTTCAGCTCTCCATCAGTGCCCTACACCTTCGATACTCGAACTTCTTCACCGTTTCTCCAGTCTTGCAGAACCGCGGCCACTCGTTTCATCAGCACATCTTCTCTAGGGTTTCACGGCGTTAATGGTGATGACCACCGAAGTCCGTTGCGGGGTTTATCTTTTTGATTTTAATGCGTTGAGATTTAATGCGGATTTTACCACCGAACGAAGAACAAAAAAAAGGATCGAATGTTGGAGTCCAGTCCTATCGACCGTCCGCGATCCTGTGGCTTCGATCTACTTTTTGCATCCTGAGATAGGGCACCGATCTTGTGCGAGTGTTCCTCCCTTTGTCCCTCCCCTCGGGACCCGATCATGTTTATGGCATTCTTTCCTCTCCTTTTTTAATTCCCTTTTACTTCCCCCTCCTCTTTCTGGGCCTTCCCGGTTTACATAGCATCCCAGCCATTTTGTGTTTATTGTTTTTGTTTCTCTCTTGTTTCCCTATTTTTTTTTTTTTTTTTTTTGACAGCGTGGAAATTGGGCACCATCTCCTGGACACTTATCTCAGGGTCTTTTCTTTTTGTGATTAATTCTGCAGTACTGGTTGTCATTTTGTTTTCTAATGCGTTTCATTGTGGAGGGTTCCACCGTACAGCAAACAGGAACTGGGACGTTGTTATCTCATGCCTCGTCCCGTTTATTACTCATTGCCTGGGCAGTTAATGCGATCAACATTTGAAGGCCTTTTTTTTCTTTTCTTCTCGTGTACCTTGTATTTGAATTGAACAGTATTCAGACATTTGACGTGACACTGTTCGTCGTCATGCACATCGTGGAGGTAGGGGATTAGTCCAAGGATAAGACGTTCTGGGAGTCCGTAGATCGAGTCTTAACCTTGCCAATTCATGCTTGGGCTGTGCTTGGGCTCTCTGATGGTGCATGGGTTCTATTTACTGAGTGCCATTTACCCACCTTCGCATCTTTGGAATCGAATGGAGAAAAAGAGGCCCTGCCGCCTCTAAACGCGTTAGCTCTCGGGGTCTTTCCTCCCGTCCCTTCTACACCGTCTCGTCGTTGCATCTCCTCAGGGACGAAGAATGGGATGATCGTCCTGTCCACTGCAACCCCACGCCATCCTCTCCACATCTGCCAATCCTCTTTCGTCTTGTTTCGCCTTCCCCGCGATCCCTTTCCCCGCCCCCGACATCTCCATTGGCTTCTCCAGTCACCACCAATGCTCTTCTTCGTCGGATTTCTTCCGACCTGTGGTTGCATGGCTCACTCTCCTGCTGCTTTTCAACCCCAGTGGTCTAGCTTCTCGAGTCTTGGACTGTGGCAGCACCTCTTTCTTCCTGCTTCTTCCTCCCGATCTTCTTCCTCTTACTTCTGGGTTTGGGTTGATCGCTCTCTTCTCTTCTCTTCTGGCTCTTCCTTCTTGTGCCAAGTCCTCGACTGGCTTAATCATATTTTACGGACTAAGCACACTGGCTATCGTAAACCACAGAGGACGCAATATGTCTCCGAGGAACTCCCACGATAACGATGACATCGGCAAGGTCCATGTCGATAACGTCGAGGTCATTCCCAACGTCACAGCTAATGCCAACAAGCCGAACCCTAGGAAAGAGGCTCCGGCCTACGTTGCCGGTTTGACGCCGGAGGAGCGTGAAGAAGCTGAGAAAGCCCTCGTCCGCAAGATTGACCTTCGACTGCTCCCGATCACCATCATCATGTATATCCTCAACTACCTGGATCGAAACAATATTGTATGCTCTTGTCATTAGCTGGGATAGTTAGAACCCCGGCATACTCACGTTCCCACCTAGGCTGCCGCTCGACTTGCCGGACTCGAAGATGATTTGAACCTCAGTGACGTGCAGTTCCAGACCTGCGTTAGTATCCTGTTCGTGGGATACCTGTTGATGCAAAGTAAAGCTTGGCCACCTCGTCATCTAGTGCTCTCTGCAAGAATTCACTGACCACCCCTCGCAGTTCCGTCCAATTTGATGTTGAACAAGTTTGGAAAACCCGCGATTTACCTTCCTTGCTCAATGGTGCTGTGGGGTATTGTTTCCACCTGCACGGCGGCCGCTCAGAATTATGCTGGGCTGGTCGTTATACGGTTCTTTCTTGGTTTCGTTGAAGCCGCTTACTTCGTACGTCTTGACCTCGACTGGTCTTTCGTTCATATTGACCTCATGCTGATTCCCCTAGCCCGGATGTCTATACTTCCTTAGTGCTTGGTACACGCGGAAGGAGCTGGGTTTCAGAACCGCTGCTCTCTACTCTGGGTCTTTGATCTCCGGAGCTTTTTCTGGTCTGATTGCGGCCGGCATCACAGGTAACATGGACCATGTTAAAGGCCTTCGCGCTTGGTCAGTTCTCCTATTAATTCCCGTGGTATTAGTGAAGAAGGCAGATAGAGATAGGGCATTTTACTAACAGCACTTGATTTTGCAGGCGTTGGCTCTTCATCATCGAAGGCGCTATCACGATAGTGATTGCCTTGATAGCGCTTTTCATCCTTCCTAATTTCCCTCGAACAACCGGGTGGCTCTCCGAAGAAGAGAAAGAGTTGGCTGCCTGGCGTCTGGAGGAGGACATCGGCGAGGATGATTGGGTCGACAGTGAGCAACAATCTTTCTTGCATGGTGCGAAGCTAGCTTTCACCGACGTCAAAACCTATGTCCTGGTAAGCCCCCGAAGAGCCTGAATGGAACCCACCCAGTGTCATCTTTAACAATCGAGTTTAGACGTTACTTGTCCTGTGCATCGTCTCCTCTGCCTCGGTGACCAATTTCTTCCCTACCGTCGTCGAGACCCTCAACTACGGCAATATCGAAACGCTTCTCCTGACGGCACCTCCTTACTGTCTTGCCGTTATTTGTGCCTTTGCCAACGCTTGGCACGCCGATCGCACCGGCGAACGATACTTCCACATCACACTGCCCTTGTACGTTGCGATGGCCGCCTACATTATCGCCGCAACCACCACGGCCATCGGTCCTCGCTACCTGTCTATGATGCTCATGGTCCCATCCCTGTATACCGGCTACGTTGTAGCCCTGAGTTGGATCTCTAGCACCTTACCTCGTCCGGCGTCCAAGCGTGCAGCCGCTCTGGCAGCCATCAACTGCGTCAGTAACGCTAGTAGCATCTACGCCAGCTACATGTATCCCGACAGCGACAAGCCAAGATTCGGTATGTTTTCTTTGTCGCGCGGTGTCCCGACTGAGAAGTGAAGTGAAGTCCATACTAACCTAGATTAGTGACCGCCATGAGTGTCAACTGCGCCACCGCATTCGTCGCTATCCTCGCTGCCACCGTCCTCCGCTTCATTCTTGTCGGATTAAATAAGAAACTCGACCGTGGCCAGGAGGTCTCGGGAGCTGTCAGGTCCGGCGGTCTTCCAGGCCAGGCCAGTGCGAGAGGGTTCCGGTTCTTGGTTTAAGCGGTTAGAGGTAGTAGATTGTATAGCTTGACATAGTAGGCTTTTTTTGGGGGGTGTTGAAGCATAAACGTAATGACTGAATTAATTTGATATCACGTGCCCTCAGCTGACTCCGGCGCCCGGAGCAAACAGTGCAAACCGGGCAACCGCGGGTAAACAAGTACCAAACACCAGCCACATGTTTCCTCCCGAGGCCCAGCCCTGCCTCTGCCTGGTGGTTGCCCTGAGCGGCGCTCCTTCTCCTCCTTTCCCTCTCCCCTCTCCACAACCCTCCGCTCTCCGCCCGAGCCAGCTGAAAACATGATTTGATTTCTATTAGCGACCTTCTTGTTTTCTATGCGCACACTTCTGATCAGTCTCAGCGACCGCAATGTCCTTCCCTTACTCCCAGGATGCCCGTCGTCGGCGGGTCGGAGCCGGTTTCAGCGCCACGGGTCGGCGAACGTTCATGGGCTACTGGGTCCCCCTGGCCCTGACCGTGGGCGTCGCGACCATTGGCGTTGCAGCCTGGATCTGGAGTGAACGAAGCGAAGATGATGACGACGACGACAACCATCACCACCACCATCACCACAACCGCGATTATCCCCGCGACGACGAGAGGTTCCCCGCGCCCGGTCCTGCTAGTGGGCCGGGCTTGCCGCGCGACGCCTACGAGGAAGGAGATTATGCCCGAACGACGGGGACGGACATTCACGGCGAGCATCCGGACGATGCCAGCGTCATGGCTCGCATGCAGGGTGCTTTGCGCCGCACGCCCAGCCCGCAGCAGATCTTCGACGGGGCCAGCAAGCGAGTCGCGGCGGGTGTCGCTGCGGCGGGTGCCTTTGTTGGCGGCGCCTTGACGTCCATTCGGGAGGAGGATCGCGGTGACTTTGAAGATCATTCACGCTGGTCGGAGGAGGTCGAAAATAGAGCTTCTCGCGGCAGAGGACAGCAGCAGCAACCACAACAACAACCTGATGTCACGGCGCCTTCTATGAGTGGTGCTGTCCCCGGTCGGGCTGGAGTCGATAAGAGGAAGAAAACGGTGGCTATTGTTGTTTCGTCGGATGCGTCGCACCTGGATCCCGAAGAGTTCTCGTCCGAACATGTGGTATGTCCTTGTTGACTTCTGGGGTGGGTTTACCCTCGAAGATAATATGTGCTGACTTGAGAACTCACAGTCCATTCTGTCGCATCTTCCTGAACATGTCAATCCCGATACCACTCGAATCTTTGTGATGATCTATGCGCCTGGATTGAAGCATGCTCCTTCTCAGAGTAACGGATCTCACCCCACTCTCTCCGTCACTTCGTCGTATTCAAACATCGCCCCCGAAGAAGCTCAGTCTCTCGGTGAGCTTCCCTCGCCGGGTGTTGTCACGGCAGCAGACGAGCCCGAGGGTTCCACGCCGCTTTTCAAGACCATGTACACACAAGCCCAAGCTATTGTTGAGAAAACGAACACGATCATGCCGTTCAGCACCCGGACGGGATACGTGCACCTGGTCCGCCACATCTCGCCGGACATTGTCTACGTACAGGAGTCTCTGGCGGGCAAGGAAGGGGAAGCCGTGCATCATATCTCCGGGTGGGTCAGACAGGTTGTCGTCGTCGTCGGCGATGAAGGTGGTCGAGGCGGTCTGGTCGACAGCGAAGACGAGTCGGCTCTTGGCGAGCAACATGAACCATGGTGGCAGAAAGAGGGCACCACTGGCATCGGCAAGCGGATCGACGTCGTTGATGCTCTCCGCACTGGGGATGACTGGCGACGAAGAGTCTCTGGCTTTGACTAGAACTTACGAGGGCTGTTTCGGTAATGGGTGGCTGCTTTTGGGTCTATATGTGTACTTTCCCCCCCCCCCTTCTTTTCTTTCTGCTCCCCTTTTACTTCTTCATGATGATTGAGATTTGATTCCCCTTGACTTTGGTTTATTTTTATGAACAGTACCCACAACTTTTTCATGTTCCCGTTGTGCATATTAAATGATGATATTGGTCGGTTTTGAAAGAAATGGAACATTTGACGAGCCACCTTGAAGGAGTTTCAGCCTTTGTTCTTGTAGACGTAGAAAGAAAGAGAGAACAAAAAGTAGGGCTGGCCAAAGGATGAATGACTAACGCAAGCGGCAGTCAGGTGACTCCCCGGCCATCACGTCGAGCGCGGCTTGGCATCGCCAAACTCCCCTTTGCCTTTGCCAACCTCCGTCAACCGTTCAAGCCTCTCCTTTGACTCCTCCCTCCCCCTCCCCCTGCTATTTCGGCGCAGGTCTCGCGTTCTTCCATGGACGACCTTCTTTTGCTCTAGCAGCTCCCGGACTTCGTGCCAGCTTCCGCTTCAATTCCGGCCTGCTCGTTGCTGCCCGGTCCCCGTCCTCCGCTCCCCACATGTCTCGCGCTCCGGTTATATCATCGTCGACTTCCGGAATACGACCTACCTCACCATCGCTCTCCTCCCTCCCGAACAATCGCGTCTACGTGTCGCTGGACGTAGCCGCATCGCATGCCCGGTTCCGACAATAAAATGGCCACTGCGATCTCCAAACCCACCTCTCACCCTCCAAAGATGAAGCGGCCGCCCCCGCCATTCCAGCCCGGGGTCAACGGGGTCAAATCCCAACATCCCTCTGCCTCCCCTCAGTCTGCCTCCAAACGTATCCCCGGATCCAATCAAACTTCCGCCGCGGCGGGCTCTGCCGGCGGTCCCGTCACCAATGGTTCTGTCGATCCCTCAAACGGCGCCCCGGTCAAGGGTGCCGGGAACCGGTCTAAGAAGGATGCGCAAAAGCTCGCCGACCAGTCGACCCGGCCACAAAAGGCGCTGTCGAGGCAGCTGTCCACGGACAATGATCGCCACCTGGGGAAGTCATCTCCAGGTCCATTCGGTGAGTCGTCTTGCTTCTGTGTTACCGTCTTACTGGCGCGCGCGCGTGAGTGTGCTAATCCTTGGCTCGTTCCACCCTAGTGAGAACCACGTCCTATATCCTGAAGAAGTTCGCCAAGTCACCCCCCTCTCTAACTGTACACCTACATCCGACCCACTTTCGCTTTGAACAACAGGATGGGAGCTTTCCTTATAATTCTGAGATGAAGGTCATCATTGAGCATATCCGCGCCGGCACGGTTCCCCATGATATGATGGAGGAGTTGCTGCGGGGGAACGTGCGATTCTATGACGGTGAGCCATTCTATCTAACTTGGCAGCTTCTTGGGGTTTGGGTTGTTCTAACGGGTTATTGCCTGGGTCTTAGGTTGTCTCATCGTCCGCGTCATCGATCACAAGTCGGTGTCAGCACAGACCAGAAAGTCGACCACTCCATCGTCAAATGAAGGCAACACTCCATTTTCGATACATAACTACAACGAACATGTCACGCCGTCGGCATTTGTGCCGTATCCCAAACAAAGCCAGCTGACGCCGGAAAAGCCCGCCTCGAAGGAGACACCCACGGGCGGCCAGTCGGATGTCACTGCGGAAGGGGAGCAGTCTAACGTCTCTCAGAATCAGACCAAACCACATGAGCCAGATACCCCTCGACAGAAATTATCGCCCTCGAAACTTCGCGTCTTCACTACCGTCCTCCACCCCACACCTCGCTCGCTACAGGCCGAGCTCACTCTACTTGCGACCACTCCCGACCCTAAGGCTCCCAAGCCGTCAACGGGGAATTCGTCGACATCTCGTCCTCCCGCGGCAACAAATTCCACGGCCCCATCGTCCCCCGGAGGCTCGTCAAACCAAGCTGATCGCGGCCCCAAAAGACAGAAAATGATGCTGGAACCGCAGGAGCTCCCGGAGTGTGAGGCCCAGCTGACCGGGCTAATAGCGCCGCCGCTGTTCCTCGACCCGGTTGGAAGCCTAGAGGCTGTTCAGGATCTGCTGAAATACATGGAAAGCCCACTTCACAAGAACCCGCCACCGTCGCCCAAGAGGCGGAAGCGTACCGTGGCCGAGCTTGCCGCGGACGAGGCTCTCGCGGCTGAGGAAGAACGGTTCATGCTCATCATGGATGAAAGATTGGAGCCGGCCTCCTCGAATGGCGCAGGCGGTCCGAAATCCGCGGTCGTGGACGACACGGGTGGTGGCGCGCCTTTCGAGCCGCGCTTCTCGCGCTTTAAGACGCTCGAGAACATTCGCATGCAGCACGAAGACAAGGCGAAACGAGACCACGAAGTTAAGATGAAGCAGGAGATGGCGAAACGACAGCAACAGGAACAGGAGCGCGAGAGGCGTCGTGCTCTGGAACAGCGACAAGCCGATGAGCAGGCCAAGGAAGATGCCCGACGACAACATCTGGCCGCACAGCAACAGGCTCAGGCACAGCTGGCGGCACAACAGCAGAATCGACACGTCATGGCTCAGGCCAACGGGGTCAGTCAAGCGCCGCAGTCATCGCCCGTGGTTCGCAACCAAACGCCACACAATACCTCGTCGCCGTTGGTCGGAAACGCTATGGGCACGCAGGCTGGTGTTCCGATGAGTATGACTTCCTCTATGCAGGGTGCTGGAAGCCCTCCACGACCGCCGTCCGCGTTGCAGCATGCCCACCCCAATGTCATGAGCCATCCCATGGCGCCTTCCAGAAGTCAGCAAGGCCAAAGCCGGCATGGCACACCCCAGATGACTCAGGGAACACCTGCCATGTCGCATGCAACCCCGATCATGCGCAACGTCACTCCCACGCAGCGCATGAGCCACGCCAGTCCGAACCGGTCAACGATGGCGTCTACCCCGGTGATGAACCAGGCCATGGTCGGAACTCCGCAAATGAACGGTGGCTTGGGTTTGACGCCTCATCAGCAGCAAATGTTGATGCAGCAGAGACAGCAGCTACTGGCGCAGCAGAACCATCTTGGACATACCCAGCTCACACCGCAACAGATCGCTCAGTTGCAGGCCAATGTCCATGCACAGCAGAATATTCAATCGCACCAACAGCAGATGTTGCAAGCTCAGCAAAATCACCAGCAGCCGCAGCAGCCCAAGATTGCCGGCCCTGCAGCATACCAGTCACAATTAATGCGTGCTCAGCTTGCTCAGATGCAGATGGCCCAGCAGCAACAGCAGCAGCAACAACATCAACAGCAGCAGTCGCAGCCGCAACAACAGCAACAGCCACAGCAGCAACAGGCGCAGCCACCGCAGCAGTCCCAGCCCCAACAGCCGCAGCCGCAACAGCAGCCGCCCCAAGGGCAACAGTCACAGGGACAACAAGGCCAGATGCACCAGGGTGCTCCTCAAATGAGTTCTCAGCAGCAACAGATGCTGATGGCAGCGGCTCAAGCCAACGGTGGACAAATTCCACAAAATATGCAGGGGGTCAACATGGCGCAGGGGGCCATCGCCCAACGATACAGCAGTCTCTATCAGCAGCGCTTGCTGCGTTTGAGGCAAGAAATGACCAACCGTATGATGGGCGAATATGGACCGCCCACCCAGTATCCGCCCCAGCTGGCTCAGCAGTATCATGCCGGGCTTGAGCGGAGTGCCAAAGCCTGGATCCATGATGTCATTCGACGGGAGCGTGAACTTGCTCAGCAACAGCGCGCTTCCCAGGTTGCTGCCGTGCAAGCTCAAGTGATGCAGCAACAACAGCAACAGAACATGATGCAAAATGGAATGGGCAAGTAACTTGACTGTTTGTCGGGTCGGTACTCACTCTTTTTCTGCCTTTTTCTCTTTCTCTTTTATTATTACTATTACTTTTTTTTGCCGCTTGGAATTGGGACCGAATTAACTCGGTGATCTCTATGCTGTCTACTAGTCTCTCTCGCCCAAATAGAGTCTCAAGATAAGCCGTCCTCTCTTGGGACTTATTGTTCATTTTTCTTTCTTTGCTCTACTTGTTTTTATGTGCATTTTTCAGACTGTATAGGGAACAGGGATTTTGAGATAAAATCGGCCGGCGTTGTTTGATATTCCATTGGCTTGCTTGGCCTACCTATTAACGTGACTTTGATTTGATTTTTCTTGCTCATTCAGGTGCTTGATTCGTTTCCTTTTTTTCTTTATCACGCGAACTTATAACCATTGGGAAACAGGGATTGACTGAACTGACTGACTGGATTCGATTTTGATTTTGATTTTTATCCGTGATTGATTGATTTGATTTGATTTGAAACGTTCAGGGGAAGAGGAGCCAAGGCATCATTGACTTGATTGATAACTGATACCATTTTTTCTTTGCGCTTTCTTTTTTTGTTGTGCTTTTTGTACAGGTGTTCTTTCTACTCACCCTTGTTGTCTGTTTCTTTCTTGATTACTCTTATCTTATTATGGTCTTCATATTTTACCGCTGCTGCTGCTACTACTACTGCTGTTGCTGCTAGATGACATATAACTCTTTTTCTGTTCAATATGAGAATTTCTTATCTTAAATATGATGTCTTTTTTGATATATATGGTTGGGTTGTGTGTACTACATGAGTACCTTGTAGTGTAACCGTTTGTGGTTCGAGTAGTTACTTGGTCTATGGATGTAGATGTAGATATAGGTGTAATTTCTTTCATGTAATTATTCATGTGGCTTGCTAGTTTAATTCACAGATTGAATATCGATGCATTGTTGATAGGTATTCTTCCTTACCTTGTTCTGTACATACATCGAACGTATTCGATCGCTGCATATTAGTTAGTAGGGAGGGAGGGAGATGATCAAGGGAAGAGGAAGGAAAATACATTTAAACAGGGCTACAAGTGCTGAAGTATAGATATATATGTAAATACCTGGGCGTAAGGTAAATTTCTATCTATTGATTCCATATTGTGCTTGGTTTTCATTTGTTGTGTTGGAGGCAGTTGTTTAGGCCTGGTTGTATATAGGTCTCTATTTCTTTGAATGTGTTTTCTGTACTGTGGCCTGTGCGGACATATACCTTAATGAAAGTCATGATCATAGCAAATATAAAATAATAGTCAATATTCTGAAAGGTGTACATGTATAACTCTATAAATGGGCTCCAGGCGTTCTATATGGTAGGTCTTATGTATGTGTTTCTCATCTTATTTATACACCAACAGACAGGATAGAGGGACAAAGAGGGAATGAGATGGAGCGAGAGCAATAGAGATAAGAGGATGTATATATATGACAGGACACTAGATAACCTAGAAGTAATGCCCCAAACCATTCATCCATTTCATCCCGACTCCACCATATAAACACAATATCTACGCCCTAACTCCCTCCCTTCCTGACCGTAACACCAACACCTCATTCTCCAGCTAGAGCCTTCCTCCTCGGATACAACCCAAGCTCTATACGTGCATGTATGTATGTGTGTGTCCACGCCACTCGCACTAATAAAACACACACGAATCTTACCTACCTACCTATCTACCTTACTATATATATCATACCTCACTAGCAAAACCAGCCAATGGGATCTGGGTGAGAACATCAGTCAGTCAGTCATGCCTACCTAGGTAGGTAGGTAGTAGGTACCTGGTCACACTCACAGTTCTTGGGCTCAAGCTCACTGATGTTGCTTTCTCCGCGGATTTAGATTATTACATTACCTAC